TTAATTCGATTTTAAAACAAACTATTTATTACCGTGGTTTTTAGTATCGCCTGTTCACCGCCCTGAGTCCCGCAAGGGAGATAGGGCGGTATATAAATGTAATAAATAAATAAATAAAAGATAAGATAAGATAAGATAAGATAAGATAAGATGAGATAAGATGAGATAAGATAACCTTTATTGTCATTTTTTATTGTGGGCACAGCAGCACACATCAAAAATGAAATTTAGTTGCCCACTCTCAAAGTGAAACACATACATGACACACACCAAACATACTATGAACAACATATGTATAGACCCACATCCCTACATAAACGTAGCAAATAAATATTAAATATTGTCCATCTTGAATATATAATGGAAGGAGGAAGCTTGAGAGTTCGCAAGATTAATGCTGTATGGAACGAAACTATGGCTGAATCTGGATGTTCTGCTACAGATACCACGAAGCTTCCTCCCAGAAGGTAGCAAGGAAAACAGGTCGTGAAGAGGCTGTGTAGTGTCAGTACTGTCAGTGCTGTTGTGTCAGCACAGCCTTTCTTTGTTATACACATGTCTTTTTTGCAGGTTCCTGCATGAGCCTGAGAAAAGATGCTCCTGCTTTTGTGTGTGCTGCTGTGTGTCAGTTACTTAAAGAGGCACTTAAGTGATTCATAGCGCAAAGGTAACTTCAGGTTCCCTGAAGGAAGGCCAGCTGCTTTCACGAAGAGCTCATATGAGGTCAGGAACATTTCTTCCAAATCATTTTTAAGGTCTGCCCGATCCTACTTTAGATCAACAAAATCTCTCTCAAGCCGAGCTTTACTCCTATGGACTATATGAAGACACCTTTGTGATTTTCTTGACAGCTGCATGCAAGTGACTAGCCACGGCCACCCTTCTAGGGTGTTTTTTTCAACTTCCCCTACAGGTCTAGGTTTTTCTGATAACCCCCCCCCCATCCCAATACTAACCAGATCTTAATCCAGATCCTGCTTAGTTTTTTTTTTTTACAGTCAAGGAAGGCTGGGTAAGTGCTGCCACCTTCTGTGACTTCCTTTACATAGCATTAAAAAAAAGCATGAAAGTCTCACTCACCCACACTGAAATCTAGAGGGAGAAAAACATGAAAATTCCTACTGCAGTCCTCAGCCCACTCAAAAAACATTAAGCTTAATCTCCCAGGCTCTCAAAGTTTGTCTCCTGTTGATTGGGTCATCCTTCATCGGCTTTGAGGGCCCTAGAGAGCATTTTTTCCCCGTATTCCCTGCCCCAACATCCCCTCCCCCCCATTCAGTCTATTACCAGCTAAACCTTACTTCTCTATCTGCTATTCTCCGCCTTTTTGTAATCCAGTCACAGCAAAGCTCCTGCGTGGATGCATTTTGCTTTCATTCTCCCTTCTGCTCTATGGTGCCACCCTTTCTCCAGCAAAGGGGTCCTCCGAAATGAGAGATTTTTTTCAAGTACGGGGAGATCCCATTGTCTATCTACAGTGGTGGCGAACCTATGGCACGGGTGCCAGAGGCGGCACTCGGAGCCCTCTCTGTTGGCACATGTGCCGTTGCCCCAGCCTTGCCTCCCCCGCGACCCCCTCCTCTCCAGCAGCCCCCCTGAAGGAGACTCGCCCTCGAGCGTGGCCCACACGGAGCAGCGCAGCCAAGGACATGGCAGCCAGGCAGTGTAGACAAGACTCTGCCCTCACACCCCATCATGCAGTTGATGCTGCAGGGCGCAGGCAGAGGGTGTGGCCACCATAGCGCTGCTGGGCTGCCTGGGCGATCTGCCGCGGGCCCTGGAGGTGGTGAGTGGTCCTGTGGGCAGGTGGGGCGGGGGATGGGGGAGGCAGAGCGGGGGCGGGCAGCGGGAGTGGAGTGGGAGTGGGGCCAGTTTTTGGGCACTCGGTCTCTAAAAGGTTCGCCATCACTGGCCTATCATTAGCTTCCCTTGTTGGTACATCATCAGACTGATTTAGGCAAGGAAAATTAGACAGAAGTCTTATTCCCCGCTGATGGTAGAAGGAAAGGTTGGGGAAGAGTTACGATTTCTCATTCAGCAGTTGCGGCCATGAAAAAATTCTTGGAGGGCCAGGCAGTGGATTATGAAACACACTGAGCTGTCACTGAAAATGGCAACCCAGTCACAAGATTTATCTTTCCTGTAACATGTAGCCCAGCTGATGCGATTGTTTTGTCATCATCCTGTTGTGCTTCCATTTCTCCAGCGTAGAAGAACATAGGCTTCCATATAAGAAATGCCCTGAATTGTTCTGTGTTTTTCAGCAGCAGCCCCTAAGCTGACTCTCCAGTAGTGTTGGGCCATGCTGGCTGGGGATCCTGGGAATTGTAATACTCATGCATCTGAAGGGTGCTGGATAAGGGAAGTTCTAAGTTCAAAAAGAGGACTCATCACAAAGCTCCTTGTTTTACAGCTTTCCTTGTGTTGTTGTTGACATGTTTTTTTGTCCCCAAGAAATGTGTGTGCACTTTCCATTTCCTTCAAAAGACACTCATGCGTTAATGATGTGCTCCTCTGGTTTCACTGAAAGACTAAGTGGTGTTTGTTGTTTTCCTGTCAGTGTCTTTCATGCATTACAATAGGACTGATTAATTGGAAGTGAAACATTACAGACGAAGCGCCTGGCTGAGCTTGATGGCCTGTTATTAACTAGCAGCACACGAAGAACTGGCCAGAACTGCATGACCTAACCTATCTTTTGCTTTGGCTAGGCTGTTGATATTAGCCCACTCTCTGCAGATCAGGTAGGGTCATTGTGTCACAAGAGAAATACAGTTGGTGAAACAAGTCACAGGAGGGGCATTCAGATGAGAATGGAACCCACTTTTGTTGTTCCCTTCTGAACAAAAGGGAAAAAGTTGAAAATTGGAAGAAATAAATTACGAGAAGAAAGGTGAATGAGAGTTTCTCCAGATGTATGAGTAAAGCAGATCCCAAAGTTGTCTATAGGAGCGAAAGAGCACTTGCAGATTAATCCTGTCCCATTTTTTTATAAGGGGTCTTGTTGACAGATAGAGTTGGCCCTTGGCAGGCCTTCTGCCTGCCTCACTTAGAAGCCATTTTCAAGACAAGCTGCAGGCTTATTAGAACTGGTTGAATAAGATAAATTCCCTCCTGTTATATAAATATACAGAACTGTCCATGTCAAAATGAAGAATTTGGGAAGAGTTTTGAAAGGCCATCTTGCCCAATCCCTGAAGATTAGTGCAGAATAGGGCTGTGCTTTGGGATCTAAAGGTGAGAGGATGATCCTGGGGAAAGATGTATTTAGTTTCAAAGAGTTGTGGACAAGGGCTAAAAGCGCTTACTCGTGTGTTCTGAAGTGCCTTTTATCTTTTGCACAGCACTTATACAGATCTTAAAAATTCCTTGTTTGCTGATATACAACCAGCCAGACTCTATTTAAAGACCTCCAGGAAAAGAGAGCATACCCCCTCCCAAGACAGTCTGTTTCATTGTCAAAGGGCTTTCCACAGTTTTTCTTTTCCTAGAGCTGAATTCTGCTCTCTGTCTTAACTTTCAGTTGAAATCACCTCTAATCTTTGCTTCCAGCTTTGCTGTATAGTGCAGCAGAAGACCGGCCTGTTCCATCTTCTGTATGGATTGTTCAGATCTTTTGCAATGTCTGCCAATGCCTTTGTGGGTCTGTTACATACATCCCTTGTGGGATGAAATCCATACGAGGAGGTGGGTGGGTGGGAGTTAGCATCCTTTTTACCATTTTCAATTGATTGATCTCAAACTCCCAGCATTGGATGAAAAAGACCCAACGGTCTTCTTGGTTGATGGCAGCTAGGGAGGAGAAAAGAAGACTTGTTTGTAGGCAAGCAACCTGGGAGCCATGGTGGCACAGTGGTTACAAGGCAGTATTGCAGGCTAACTCTGCTCACACTGCCAGGAGTTCGATTCCTTCAATCCTCATCTGCTCAAGGTTGACTCAGCCTTCCATCCTTCTGAGGTCAGTAAAATGAGGATCCAGATTGTTGGGGCAATAGTCTGACTCTGTAAACCGCTCAGAGAGGGCTGTAAAGCAGTGTGAAGGGGTATATACGTCTAAGTGCTATTGCTATTGCTCTTTGTTTTGTATCTATAATGCTAGGCTCAGGATCAAGAAGGGAATTACCTATATGTTTATTTATCTATATAAATAAAAATGTAAATGTTCGTTTGTTCAAAATCTTAAATCGCCGAAAGTTCTTCACCGATTGCTTTGAAATTTTGACACAACGTTGCATTCAAATATGCACGTGTTTTTATATACCTACTATTATATAGATATCACACCTGTGACAGGTAAAAACATTTAACCTGTCTGAGCCACAGCAACGCGTGGCTGGGTACAGCTATTTTGTTATATTTTCTTCCTGTTATCCCTTGAAGGAACTCTGCATGGGATTCTAAATCCCTTTTCCTGCCCCTTTATTATCACATCAACCCTGTGAGTAGGATAGGTTGAAAGGGAGATGAGAGTGACTGGCCAATGATCACCCAATAAGTTTCATGGCTGGACAGAGATGTGGACCTGGATTACTTTTGCCTTATTTCCATCTTCTAATGGAGTTTAACATATCCTCTTACAGTGAATGCTATTACCCTGTGTCCAGTGGTATATTAACCCCCCTCCAAATGTAGTGCTTTTCTATCAGAAACTGCCCTTCCCTCCATTCCCCTTGAGTGTGTTAGAAGGCAAAGCATTTTCCAAGAGAACACTGCATTTATTTATTTATTTATTTTAAGAGCCATTTTTGATGTAGTTGATCAAGCAGTTGATGGTTGAGGAAGTTGCAAGTTCTAGAAAGATGACCAGCCCTGTCCACTTTCCTTGATATTATCTTCTCACAGCAGTGGCAAACAACTGGAATATGATTTCTTTCTGGTTGGCTCTTTCTTGAGGAGGTGGGATTGTGATGTGGGATGCTCTATAGCAGGTGAGCCAAGGAAAGAAGTTTTCCCCAGTCTACTTTACTCCCTTCCTCTCATTTTTTCCCCCCTTGATTTGCAGGTTGCGGTATATGGTGAAACAGCTGGAGACAGGAGAGGTTAATATTGAGGAGCTGAAGAAGAACTTGGAATATACAGCTTCTTTGCTTGAAGCAGTTTACATTGATGAGACCAGGTGAGGGTGAAGGGTTGGGAAAGCCCTGTTGGGTGTCCATCTGGTCCAGTACTATTTCCCTCCCTCCCTCCCCAAAGTCAAAATGAGTGCCCCTGGATAGGCTGCCCATCCCCAAGTTAAGCAGACTCCAGACTCACATCCCATTGCTGAAAATTCTTCTGGAAGTCAGTCCATACACCTGGAGAGCACCCAGGTTGACGAAAGCTGGGATAAACTGAATTATGGGGAAGTCGTAAAGCAACCGACACCGTCAGGCAGAAATTTGACAGTGGTGGTTAGCATCCTGGCTTGGATGCTGGCAGAAGCTCTGCTGAGTTTTACCAGCTCTGAAAGCCTTTAATGGGTGGATCTTCCTCTGGTTTCCAATTCATATTGGCACTAAGAAGGGATGTGGTTCCCCCTAGTGGCAGACTGTCATATGAAGAACTCACCAACCTTGGATGCACTGAATCCAGAGAGTCAGTCAAATACTGTACACGCTGTTATCTAAATCACAAACTCATTCTTCAGTTTTCTATTAAGTTGTAGGAAATACTTTCTCAGAGACACTAAGAGAAACCCAAGTAAGAGCACATTAGAAGACACCTCATCTCTATCTAAAGTCCAGAGAAGCACTGATGACATTTCCCTATTGTTGAGTTGTCCTTCATCCATATTTAAGTTGCCAGAACAATACTATCTGTGAAATTTGTTGTGCCCATGATTGATCCAGTGGTGGGATTCAGCCGGTTCTCACCAGTTCAGCAGAACCGGTAGCTAATTTTTTGTTGCCCAGCCCCAGAATGGACTTCCGGAAGCGACATCGACACAGAGAACCTGTTGTTCACATATTTGAATCCCACCACTGGGCCAATCCCTATTGGACCTTTACTCTAGGTGTTTTTAGTTTCTATCAGTCATCTGACTTCCTTCCAAAGTAATGCTTGAAAACCTAACAGCTTTACTCACCTTGAAGCTGTTCTCGTACCTTCAGAATAATGGGAAAGATACTACTTTAGTAGTGAGGCACCTAAAATCCTCCCTTCAGAGATTAGAATGGCCCCAACCCTATTAGCCTTTTGTAAGACCTTAAAAACCTGGCTATGTTCCTGAGCTTGGGTTGTTGAATGCACCAAGCCTCCCCCTCCCACTTTTCCTGGCTTTATTGGTAACGGGCCAAATACCTTGCTCTTGTGTATTTTGAATTGGCTGTTTAATGTTTTCTACTGGTTTTATTGTTTTAAAATGTTTTTCACATTTTTTAATTGTAAGATACATTCTGAATTGTAAGCTGCCCAGAGTCATTTCCTGAGATGGATAGCTTTAGAAATTGATTGATGATGATTGAATGAATGAATGAACAAATGAATGAATGAACGAATGAACGAACGAACGAACGAACGAACGAGATAGTATGACTTAAGACCATCTTACTCATGGGCTAGTACAGGGGTCTTCAAACGTGGCCCTTTTATGTCTTGTGGACTTCAACTCCCAGAATTCCTCAGCCAGGCATGCTGGCTGAGGAATTCTGGGAGTTGAAGTCCACAAGTCATAAAAGGGCCACGTTTGAAGACCCCTGGGCTAGTATAAGCAATGTTATGTAGACTTGAGTTAAAACATCCCTTCATTTTATTTTTCAAAATTTCTTTTAACATTTAAAAGACGATCCATCATTGTTGAAAACCAGGCTAAGTGCCAGTGTTACTGTTGTTCTCTGGGCTTCTTTTTAATTTTGGGGAGGGGGCAATGTAATTGCAGCTTTTGTCTCCTATTGTGACGCACGTTGCCTCTAACTGCTTATCATCTGTCCTTCCTCTCCCCACTGGCACCATTCCTGTTTCAGGAAGATTCTGGACACAGAAGATGAACTCCAAGAGATCAAATCTGACGCTGTGCCCTCTGAAGTGCGAGACTGGCTGGCCTCCACTTTTACCCAGCAGACCCGGTCCAAGGGGCGCCGTTCGGAGGAGAAACCCAAGTTTCGCAGCATTGTGCATGCTGTTCAAGCTGGCATCTTTGTGGAAAGGTTTGGTTCGTCTTGCCTCTTCCCGGACTGCCTGGAATTAGAATGGAATAGGGGATGAGAGATGAGGGACAATGCTTGTGTGGTTGAATAAGAAATGATTCACATGAGATGACAGAGGAAAGAGAATACTTTGTCCTAAGATAGCTTTTCCCAGCTGAGAACCCCCATCTCTGATTTCTTGTTCTGCAGCTTACCAACCCTCCCCCCCACATTTGCATGGTTAGGCATGCTGGTTAGGGGTGAAAGATGGGAGGGCATCAAAGGGGGTCAAATGGACAACTCGGGTCTGACTTAGTTCTGGGGCATCTGTGCAGGGGACTGTCTCTTAGTTCTAGTTTAGGAAAGGGAACTGGGATAATGAAAAGGAGCGAATGGAAAGGAGGAAGTAGATAAAAATGCATATTGATAGTGATGAAAATTGAAACTGAAAATTATTATATATCCTCCTGTGCCTGGGGAATCTGTACATGGGTCTGGAACACTACTGGGCTATTGATTCTTAGTATCTCTGGAGAAGAGGTTCAAATTCGACGTGCCTGAAATTTATTTGCCCTGCCTGGAGAAAGCCGAATGCTCCTTGCATGCTTGATGGGATTTGGAAGCTGTTTCTAATTGCAAGTAAGCCAGATCTCCCAGGGACCGTCTGACTGTGTCTTCCACTGCACAGGATGTTCCGTCGAACGTACACAGCTGTGGGACCCAATTATTCCCAATCGGTCATCAACTGTCTGAAGGTAACAACTCTTTTGGGAGGGAGGATCCTGTTAACAGTGCTATGCTATCTGTGTAAGTGTCTGCTGGATGTAATGAGGCTTACACTCTGGTAATAATTCCTAATTTTTGCATCCCGTGGTTTCTCCTGCTGGAGAGGAGGCTTCTGTCATTCACCCCACCCCAATTCCCAAGGCTATTTTTGCCCATCACCTCAAGCCATCCATTGGGTCAATATTTATGAGTCACACACTTTTCTAGCTATTCCCTACTATCCGCTCTATAAAAAAGGATACTGGAGGCAAAGTTTCCCCAAAAGTCTTAGTTTTCACCAGTAATCAATAATCCGCACTGTAGGGGTTAATTAATCACTTCAAGAAGGAAGAGGCTTAGAGGAATGCTCTTTGATATGTATTATAAACCACCTGGAGTAATTTGGAATAGGATTTTGTGTGTGTGTGTGTGGTAGAATGTAGTCAGGATTCCCTGGAGGGAAGAGCTGCATTCCAGAGGATCCAAAGACTAGTTTATATAGTTTGTTTGGGAGGAAGAGGGTCAAGAGAGTTCTCCCCTAGAAGTTCTTAGAAATACCTTTAATGATTCAAGTAGTTGCTTTAGTTTGGCAAGATTTCTGCCTATAGGCAAAGAATAGTAAATTGCTTAGAAGTAACTCTTGTGTGTCTCTCTTGGTTTGTGGAGCCTGACAGTAGGTAAACGATAGATGAACACGTGTATTATGTGTGTACAATGTGCGTGTAGAGGTGAATGGATGGATGGACAGATAGACAGGCCTATTTATTAGAGGAATGATTAATACCTAGAAATGGATTTCTTGGTTCACATTAAGTTCCATCTAATAGCCCTCCCTTTTTTTTAAAAAAAACATCCTTTTCTTTTGGATCCTTGCCCCATTTTTCCTCCTGTCCTACACCAGAGGTAAGTCCTTTCCTTAGTAGGTATGGCAGATTTGACCCTCCTCTCTTGCTCCGTCTTTCACTCTGCCTCTGTTTCTCTTCCTAGAGTCTTGACCTCTGGTTTTTCGATGTCTTTGCACTGAACAAGGTGAGCGAAGACCATGCCTTGCGCACAATTGTCTTTGAACTGCTCACCCGCCACAATCTCAACAGCCGCTTCAAGGTAAGAAACGAAGGGGTCCAGGCACATCCAGGTAACCCTTCTGTGCCTGCAGATTAAATCATCTTTCCAAATTGTGAGAAGTTAGGGCAGCACTATAATGCTGCTTTTAAAGTAGAAGAGGGAGTGTATTTGTGTGTGTGTGTGTGTGTTTGTGAGGATCCTATTTTTATAGGAGTGATTAGTTGGGGAGGAGTTCTGCAGGCTAAGGGCTGAAGCCTGAGTGGTCTGTAATCACGTGAAGTATTAATACCACTTTACAATGCCTTAGTAAGGCCACACTTGGAATCCGGCATCCAGTTTTGGTCACCACGATGTAAAAAAGATGTTGAGACTCTAGAAAGAGTACAGAGAAGAGCAACAAAGATGATTAGGGGACTGGAGGCTAAAGCATATAAGGAACGGTTGCTGGAATTGGGTATGTCTAGTTTAATGAAGAGAAGGACAAGGGGGGACATGACAGCAGTGTTCCAATATCTCAGGGGCTGCCACAAAGAAGAGGGAGTCAAGCTATTCTCCAAAGCGCCTGAAGGCAGGACAAGAAGCAATGGATGGAAACTAATCAAGGAGAGAAGCAACCTAGAACTAAGGAGAAATTTCCTGACAGTGAGAACAATTAACCAGTGGAACTCCTTACCTCCAGAAGCTGTGAATGCTCCAACACTGGAGGTTTTTAAGAAGAGACTGGACAGCGATTTGTCTGAAATGGTATAGGGTTTCCTGCCTGAGCAGGGGGTTGGACTAGATGACCTCCAAGGTCCCTTCCAACTTTTTATTATTATTATTATTATTATTATTATTATTATTATTATTATTATTATTATTATTATTATTATTATTATTATTATTATTATTATTATTATTATTATTATCAGATCCAGAGTCAGAATTGGGTGGGGTCATTTCTCATCTTTCCCCTCTTTTCCCCCCAATCAAAGGATTGCCAGGGAAGGAGCTGAGCACTTTGGGTAAATGTTTTGAAAGCAGACTGAGGACTAGATAATGCCCATCCTTTTTTTTACTTTGCCAAATTTCCAAGAGTCAAAAAGGTAAAGACTCTCTTGAATCAAATATGGACCTTGCTGCTCTCCACAGAAGTGGTTTGTAAGAAGCAGATCTGATTCCATATAGCTTTTTTTTCTTTTTTCTTTTTGATAGCAGCCAAAGTTGGCTGGATGCTGCAACTTGGTAGGACATCAGCAAAATAGTTGTAGTAATTTCTTGCATTAAAACAGGTTTAATATGTTGCTTAAATTACCAGGGCTTTTTTTTTGAAGGCTACAATAATGGAAACCTGGTTGAAACTCCTGCAGTTTATATCTGAACGTTCATCATTCATCATGGGCATAGCCAGTGGCATGAAGTTATGGGAATGATAGTCCAAAACCTCAGCAGGAGACCAGCTGCTTCTCCTGAATCAAATAGTTCAACATTTTCCAGATGAGATGTTGCTTTGATGATAGAGGGTTCTGAATATTCATGATAAAGCTACAGTCATCTAGCTCTACCTTTAAAACTTCCATTTTTAACAAATGCTAAGCCATAATCTGACTTGCCAGTATGTACCACCTAAGTCACTCTGGCTTTTTCAACAAACCATTATGAGAACAAACTGTGGCTTATTGTGATTTCAATCATCAGTTGCTGGCTGGAGAATTCTGGGAGTCGAAGTCCACACATCGTAAAGTTGCCAAGCTGGAAAAACACAGCAGTAGATCATATATACTAAAAGGGGAATCCTACTCTGCATAAAAGCCAAGGTCTATAAGGGTTTTGTGCTCAGTCTCCAGCATCTCCAAATTGGACAGGGAAAAAACTTCTGTCTGAAATACTGGAGAGCCACCACTACTTAGGCAGATTACATTTCAGACCTTGTTGGATTGAAACCCCCAACCATCTCAAGTCAGACTTTCCATGCTGGCTGAGGAGTTATAATCCATCAAAACTGGAAGACATGCTTGGAAAGACTAATACAGGTAGCACCAAACTAGATAGCAATAGCACTTAGACTTATATACCGCTTCGTAGTGCTTTACAGCCCTCTCTAAGCAGATTACAGAGTCAGCCTATTGCCCCCCAACAATCTGGGACCTCATTTTACCGACCTCGGAAGAATGGAAGGCTGAGTCAACTTTAAGCCGTTCAGAATCGAACTGCTGACAGTCAGCAGAATTAGCCTGCAATACTGGATTCTAACCACTGTGTGCCACCATGGCTTTTCAGATGGATCAACTATCAGACTCAATAGAAGACATCTAAGCTTGCAGCTATTTTCAGATCTTGCCTAGGGTCACCTTGTCTTTGTTGTTTTGCAGATCCCCACGGTGTACCTCATGACTTTCCTGGATGCACTGGAGGCTGGTTATGGGAAATATAAGAACCCTTATCACAATCAGATTCATGCTGCTGATGTTACCCAGACTGTACATTGCTTCCTGCTTCGCACTGGCATGGTGGTAAGGCTATCCTGTGGACTGGGTGAATGTCCCATTTGTTCACCCTCAAGCATGTTAATATTGCATGCTTAGAAAATTAATTCTGCTTTTTGAGTCTGAAGAAACTTTCGAATCTTGGGTTTTAGTGCCTAACTTTCTGTTGGGATGACCTAAATTACTGTACCTGGGATAAATCTCAGGAATGAGACCTACAAGCTGTTTTGCTCCCAAATTATTCTTTATCAAAACTCACTGAAACGCTATACACATACAGAAAGCAACAGTGCCCTCTAGAGGTCTTCCCAGTTTAGCACCAAGCCGGGAAATGGAAAAACTGATCGCAGTCAGCAAATGTCTGCTGAGTGAGTTGTGTCCTCTCCCCCCGCCCCGTCTTTAAAAAAATAAGGTGATAAACAAAAAATTCTACAGGTTCTATTACAAGATGAATACACAGTTTTAATTAAAATATAAAATCATATCAAGTAAAAAACCCCAAACAAACCCTAAAATAAATCAGTGATCCGACCTGCTAAAATGCATTCTAGCAAATAAAATATCTTGAAAACCAATTCTCTCTCTGAAAAGGGGAGTTCCCATAGCAGGAGGCAACAAGTTCCGCCTAGGACAAGGCAGAAGGAAGGACTTTTCCCAATATTTTTTTAAACCAGGACCGACTTATTTGGGAAAGCACAGCCTTTAAGTTAGGCTGCTTCTCTTTGGGCTTTGAAGAACGTAGCCAGCAGCTGTCTCTTCATGGGAATGATGCCTGCTGAAAATGTTGGTCATATTCCCAGCACACCTGGAACTCATTAGCTTTGAGAGGTTGCTGGAATTGGGTATGTCTTGTTTAATGAAGAGAAGGACTAAGGGTGACATGATAGCAGTCTTCCAATATCTGAAGAGCTGCCATAAAGATGAGGGGATCAACCTGTTCTCCAAAATGCCCGAAGGCAGGAACAAGAAACAATGGATAGAAACTAATTGAGGAGAGAAGCAGCCTAGAACTAAGGAGAAATTTCCTGACAGTGAGAACAATTAATCAGTGGAACGACTAGCCTCCAGAAGTTGTGGGAGTTCCATCATTGAAGATTTTAAAGAAGAGATTGGATAGCCATTTGTCTGGAATTGTATAGAGTTTCCTGCTAGAGCAGGGATTGGAATAGAACAGGGCTCCCCAACTGCTGGTCCGTGGACCAGTACTGGGTTGTGGCATGCCAGCAACTGGTCCGCACAAACAAGCAAAGCCCCATCCGCGGGATGCAGGCAGCACACAAAACCACGCACTCTTCGGTCCGCGGAAAAACCTCTCTCCACAGAACCGGTCCCTGGTGCTCAAAAGGTTGGGGACCTCTGGAATAGAAGACCTTCAAGACTCTTCCAACAATTTTCTTTGGAATGACACAAAACCATATTTGTGGTAGGAATCCTAAGATGAGAAATGGTATATGTCCTGTGTGGGAGCAAATTTATATTTTATATCTGTATATCTTATTTTATATTGCACATACCCAGCCATACATATCTACCAAAGAACAGTAAGATAGGTATCTGTCTGTGCCTTGTTGCTGCTTTTCTTCTTGCCATGGGAAGTGCAATTGTTATAGTGTCTGTTTCCAAGAAAGTAGGCTTTAAGTCAGAATTTATGCCACAGATAGGACAACAACTGATCTAGAAAGGTTACGGAATCAGCGAGTTTTGGTCATAGGGATGACTCCCCCCCCATTGTAGAACATGTCCTCCATTTATGATGGCAAACGTCTGGAGTTATTTCCAGACCTCACCCTTTCATTCCCAAAGATGCTGATAATCTCCCTTGCTTCTTCTTTCTCCACAGCACTGCCTGACAGAGATTGAGGCCCTAGCCATTATCTTTGCAGCTGCAATCCATGACTATGAACACACGGGTACCACCAACAGCTTTCACATCCAGACCAAGTAAGTAAAAACGTCGTTATGTGGATGTTCCATTGCTAACCTTACAGTGTCACTTTAGAGGAAAGAAGAATTCTGAAAGACCTGTAGAATGCACAATAACAAATAGTAAGTGAACTGTATTGGTTACTTGAGGCCTCCGTGGCCTCTTTTTGTCACACAATTAAAGATAAGCCACTGTAGGCCATTGTATTAGGTATGTTTGGAGTTAACCAAAATGTTGAAATGTTCACCAGTTCCTCAAAAAAGCAAGATCATTCATCCCTGCCCTTGACATTGTGTTTGCTTTATGGTTTTCTTCTTTTTCAGGTCAGATACAGCCATTTTGTACAATGACCGGTCAGTTCTAGAGAACCACCACATCAGCGCCGTCTTCCGCATGATGCAGGAAGATGAGATGAACATACTTGTTAACCTGGCCAAGGATGAATTTGTGTGAGCCCTCATCCTCTCTTTCTCTACTGAACCATGTTCTCAGGAAAAAAACAGGGCATGCTTTCACTGAGAAATGCTCCAAAGGGGTCCAGGCATTGTGGGGTGGAGTAGGGCAGAAATCAGCAAATTGATAGTCAACTGTGGTTAACTGGAACACCATGGCCTCTTCCTGCAAAATGCTGTGCATTTATACATTGTTGTGAGAAAAGAGCAACAATTAAGTTGAGCTTCCTCCTCTAGTAAGTTGGCCTTGGGTTTATAATCTCGCTAACTGCTCAATTCCTCTTATGTGGGACTCCTTCTAAATATTTTTAATTAGTTCCATCTGATATTCATTTATTTTTGGATATCTCCACTTTGGGATGTCATGTCTTTCCTTAGGATGATTGATGGAATATTCTAGAGACCCCTGCATCTCAAAATCAGTGGGTTTGTACATAGAAGAGTTTGCTTAGATCAGTGGTTCTCAACCTGTGGGTCGGGACCCCATTTGGGGTCGATCGACCATTTCATGGGGGTCGCCAAGCAAGGTTGTCCACCATTTTTTTTGTCCGCCATTTTTTTTGTCCGCCATTTTTTTCCCCCTTTTCCGGCGGGTGCCTTACCTCCCTTGGGCTGGGCCAGCTGGTGGTCGGCCTGTTCCGTCTCTGCCGCTTGCCAGCTACGCCTCGGCCGGCGCAGGGGGCGGAACCACGCATGCATGGCGCTCCCTGGCAGGGAAAGTCCTCGACTTACGACCGGTTGGGTAGTCCTCAACTTGCGACCGGTTTAGTCCTTGACTTACGACCGGTTTAGTCCTCGACTTACGACCGGTTGGGGTCACGGCATTAAAAAGGTTGAGAACCACTGGCTTAGATGGTAGCAGAAATAATTTTATATTTTTTAGGCATTATGATTCTAGACATTTTGAAGCTGAAAGGACTCAAACATACAAAACCTTTCCAGGCAGTGCATTTGTTGTGTTTAGAAGTTTTCAGTTGTTGCTCAGACACTTTATGGTATGAGGATAAGAACTCTGATCACCTATCCTTGGTTTTTGGAACTAGCCTTCCAGACCTATAGCAAAAGGTAGCAAATTGTCCTCTTGCGTGATGCAAGGAACTCCCTAACAGGGTTGTGTATGTGCGTTTGTATGTACATAGCTGCTCAGAGAGTCTTGCAATGACTAATAAGCAGTGATGGCAAAGGTTCTGGGTTCTATCAGCATCTGTCCCAAAGTTGTTTGCAAGGCTTGTTCTGTGGATCTCCTACATACCTCTTTTCATTCTTGAGAGGTTGAACAAGAGCCTCATTATCATGCCAGCACCTTCCACTTGGCTTGATTGACAGCTTCAGCCTGCACCATATATTTCTGCCTGACACCCAGGTTTGAAACTATTTCCAAATTCAAGACAATTTACATACCAGATGTTCTCATCTTGGGCCCACATTTGTTGTTACAATATTCCCTCAGCCTAGCTGAAAGGGCCCATGGGGCTTTGTAAATAATTATTATGATAAATAGTCTAATTTTCTTGCCATCAGCTCCCCTTTCTCTTATCACTTTTGAGAATCCACTTCTTTGTGGCTTGAGCAATAAATCTTTAGATTTGTTGCAATCTGTGGTGGGAGGAGAAGGAGAGGGGAGGGGAGGCAGGAAACAGAGCACAAATATCCTCTCTCAGGTACATTTGGTACACTCATTGTGATGAACTTTACATAGGAATTTGTACAGATCTTTGAATTAGAATTTTCTGGGATCCATGTATTTGTGTGTGTGTGTGTGTGTGTGTGTGTGTGTGTGTGAGAGAGAGAGAGAGAGAGAGAGAGAGAGAGAGAGAGAGAGAGAGAGATTCTGGAGGCTTGGTGAAATTAAGCTTTGAAATTCTATTGCATTATTTTTAAGCTCAGCTGCTCAACCACAAAGATGATTATTTATTAAATCCATTCACAGGCAGGAAACAAAATGAAATAAAAGTTGGCAGACTCCTTCTGTTAAATGTATTACAACTGCAAAGGACTTGCTGGGAAGATAGGATTTCCAAAGACTTCCTGCAGCAAAGCAGTCAGCATGAAGATATATTATCTTTGGGAATAGACTGAATAGAAGGAAGGCATCTGTGTAGTCTCTAATGGTATTTGAGTCTTTCCAGCCACCCCCCTGCCCCCCCAGGGAAAAAAAAAGGTTAAAGACATGACTGTCATTATCAAAGACGATATCAAAAGCTAAACATGCCAACAATGTTATTTTGATGTTTGAGCATTTTTGATATTTGTGTCCTCTTGGGGCAGAAGTTTTCTTCTGGGATTGCAGAATATCAACTCAAATGTGATCACTCATGGTAACAGAATGGACAGATCCCCCCCCCCCCCCGTTTGTCACTAAAAATGGGGATTCCTCCTAGTGCATTTGTGTTGGAGGTTGAAACACATAAGGAAGAACGTTGTTTGATGGTTGGCTGTGTTTCTTTGATTTCATGGGGTGCAGGGAGCTCCGGTCCCTCGTGATTGAAATGGTTCTGGCGACAGACATGTCCTGTCACTTCCAGCAAGTGAAGTCCATGAAAACGTCCCTGCAGCAGCTGGAACGGTAAATGGCAAAAGGAGGGCTGTGTGCGTGTATGTGTGTGCATGTGCATGTGTTTAAAAAATTGCTGTGATAACCCCTGGATATGTAATAGAAAAAAAATGGATTTGAAAGCATAAAAAGCATGGAAGGTTTGCAGATACATATTAAATCTGCAGTACATTAGAAAACTCTTTATCTAGCCTGAGGCAGTTTTTTTTTAGTGATGATGATGCTGACAACTAAGTCAGTTCAGAGTGAGGGTGGACAATGCTTCCTTTACAGATATTTTGAGATGATAGCTAGATAGCTAGATAGATAGATAGATAGATAGATAGAGAGAGAGAGAGAGAGAGAGAGAGAGAGAGAGAGAGAGAGGGAGGGAGGGAGAGGGAGAGAGAGAGGGAGAGGGAGATACATACATACATAGTTAGGTAGATAGATACAGTAGATAGATAGATAGATAGATAGATAGATAGATAGATAGATAGATAGATAGATAGATAGATAGATAGATAGATAGATAGATAGATAGATAGATAGATAGATAGATAGATAGATAGATAGATAGATAGATATAGGCAGGCAGGCAGGCAGGCAGACAGACAGACAGACATAGAACTGTAGATGAAACAATGAGGGGAAGGGAAACAGGACTTTCTGAGCCACATCTGGAAGCACTATCAATCAATCAGAATAGAGCTGGAAGGGACCTTGGAGGCCTTCTAGTCCAACCCTGTGCTCAAGCAGGAGACCCTATACCATTTCAGGTAGGTGGCTATCCAGTCTTTTCTTAAAAACCTCCAGTGAAGAAGCACCTACAACTTCTGAACTAGTCGGAATAATAGTCAACAGTTCTTTGAGGTTGCCCAGGTTCCTTCCTGGCTGCTTCTGGCATGCACAGAGGGCATGGGGAAAAAGTCAAGGTCTTCACATATATGGGTGGAGCATAAAGTAAGAAGTGGCAGAAGTTCCTCCTGTTGCCTAAGGAGCATACCTGTTTTATTTTTTAAAAAAAATCAGCTATAAAACAGCAGTGGAAAAACAGGTCTCTGGAATAAGGATGTGCAGAGTAAGTGGTAATTCTGCTCCTTGATGGGTTGGGTGTTGATACTTGCTAAATCAGGCTTCTACACAACAGCAAAGGTGAGAGCCTGGAGCATGGCATAGCAAATGGGAGGCTGCCTGTCCCAATTGGGACACTGTGCCTTTGTGGGTCCGTTATGCCAGGGGCAAGATCTGACCCCATTCTTGCTATTCTTGTGCTGCTGCTTCCCCAGGATTGACAAATCAAAAGCCCTCTCCTTGTTGCTGCATGCAGCTGATATCAGCCACCCCACCAAACAGTGGCCGGTGCACTGCCGATGGACCAAAGCTCTCATGGAAGAGTTCTTCCGCCAGGTATGCCTGGGGTTCTGCCTCAGAGGGGTTATAATGTTGGGGCTCGGAGGCCGAATAGGACTGCTGAAATCATGCTCACCTTTCTTAGTAGTCACAAACACTTGCTTATTCAAACAAAGCCACAGTTTTCAGGTTTCACCAAGTCTCTAGAGCAGACATGTCAAACTCGGGATGTCATGTGATGTCGCGCAACGTATCAGGACGGTTTTGCCATTGCTGGCAATGGGGTGGGTGTGGCTTCTGGATGACGCATCCGGCCTGCGGTCTAGCAGTTTGACACCCCTGCTCTAGAGCATTTTCAGGGAAAGATTATATTCCATGCATGAACTGAGTTTGCACTGCATGTTACACCTGGTCAGCCAATTAGCCCATTTTCTGGGTTTATATCATACACTGAATTGTGAAGCATTCCACAGGCTGGGGTTGCATGACTTCTGTGCCACAGATCAAATTAAAACTAGCCCAGTTTAACACCTATCATGAATATAACCGATTGGTTTACTTATGCTGTGTCATTAAATGTCTGACTCAACCATTGCACTACAAGACTTGGTTCTTATCTACCTTGTTTTTTATAGGGAGACAAGGAAGCTGAGCTGGGATTGCCTTTCTCCCCATTATGTGATCGCACATCCACACTGGTGGCCCAGTCACAGATTGGTGAGTGGTAAAAAAATCCCAGACTGTAAGCCACAGCGGAGCTCTCCTTGACTGCCTCTTCCTTCCCTCCCTTGATGTAGTAGAGATGTTAATGTATCTTCCATACATTATTTTATTTATTTTGTCCTGCCACAGGGATAGTGAACTGTCCTCATTGCACTCTGTGGATAACCTTTCAGAGGAAAACAGAAAAGTCCACGGCCCTGTCCCTAACACGCTTTTCCTTCCACAGGTTTCATTGACTTTATTGTGGAACCCACTTTCCAAGTTCTGACAGATGTCGCGGAGAAAATGGTCATCCCATTAGTGGAAGAAGGTTCCAAGAATAAATCGTCCAGCCAGCAGAGCAGGTAGGCATTTACTGGTGGGGATGGAGAATTGTGGAAGAGAGGGAGGTGCAGCCGTGGGGGTGGAATGGAACCTCTTTGGCATTCTTTATTGCAGTGTTTCTCAGTCTCAGCTACTTCAAGATGGGTGGACTTCAACTCCCAGAATTCCTCAGCCAGCCATAGGAGTTGAAGTCCACACATCTTGAAGTGGCTCAGACATGAATTCTTCTCAGGGTTTTGTCCTACTTGCCCAATATTCCAACTCTTTGGTCTGACCTCCCTAATGTAGATCAGCAGGTGGAAGATTGCTTTTCAATGACCAAAGGTTTCCGGGATAAAGCGATGATTTGGCCTTCCATCTTGTTCACAATTCTGGGGGGGAAAATGTTACTGTCTCCTAAGAGAAACTGTTTTCTCTGAGTCCCTGATGGCATTCTGACTGGTCTAGCCTTTGAACATGATAATTGTTTTTATTATACTGTCTGGTATATTCTGATGTTTGCAGTTGGGCAGCATCAAATAAGATTCCTCTGTCTCAGCCTAGCTGTCTGGGGCAGTATTTTCTTTCACCTCTTCCAGTGGGAAGGATACCTTCACCCTCCAGTTGGGAGCTGATCCTGCCTGCAGACAAGTCATGCACGATCTTTTGCAAGCCCCTTCTTTCGGTGTCTGAAAAGAAGCAGAAAATAATAACAATAACCTTGGAAAGGATTCAATGGGTGGATAAAAATGCCAAATCCAGTCTAGACATCTGGCTGACTGTGTGATAAACCATAATAATAATAAACCATAATACGTCAATTGCATAATAATTCAACTGCAAAAGGCAGTTGTAATTGGAACAGCTCACATTCTGCAATGGCACCTTTGATTTTAGAAAACAACAACAGCCTATTCCAGGTCCTTGGGAAGGATTTGATAGTTGGATAAAAATGCCAAATGGAGTCTGAACATCTGGCTGACTATGATCAGCTATAGTAATAATACAGTTTGATGGTATGTAGTCATACATTCCTTCCCTCTTTCCTTCCTCTCTAAATGGATTGGAGAAGGCATGGATCCTTTGCAGCCACCCAGTTCCCTATCTATCTGGGGCTCTAGGACAACTCACTGCAGGACAATCCAAGCGGGATAACTCAATGCAATAAAGGTTATCCGCCACTGTTTTTTCTGCATGACTTCCATTTTTGCCAGTGGAAATAAGGTCGAAGAAACAGTGGTGTATAACTCTTATTGCATTGAGTTATCCCGTGTGGAATTGTCCAACAGCAAATTGTCCTGTGGCGAGTTGGCTGAGGTGAGCTGGCCATGGCGAGATGGCTGCAGAGAGTTGTCCCATTTTGCCTATTTGGAACTGGTTCAGCTACAGTGGCCAGACTTTGCTTCTGTGTATTTTTCTATTGCCAGGCTATGCCACATCAGGTGGAGGAAAGAAGCCACGGAACGCTTAAGCATATTTACCCCTATATTCTCGACTGGATATAAGGAAGTGGCTTTAAGGTGGACTGTCTGTCTAGCTTGGAATTTTTTACTGAGTGACAGAAGCTCCCCGAAGCCTGACATCTGAGATTTCTACATCTCTTTATAAGCAGCTCCTCTCCTAACTGGGAAGAGCAAGGTGTGATATTTGGCATGCACTACTGATGGTGGACCGCTGCAAAAAAATTCTCTCCCTGCAGGGGAAGGCAAAGCCTGCCCTATAATAATGATCTTGATTGCCCCAGATTTGACAGATGAAACTTGATGAGATGGGAATTGAAGGAGATGACGGATGGGATTTTGCTTGTTTGTACGGACTGGTTGCTGGCATGTCGCAGCCCAAGAGTGGTCCATGGACTGGGGATTGGGGACCCCTGTGCTAGAGAGCTGTAAGACAGAGCTATAGTGATGACAAGATGTGAAGTGGAAGAACTCGAGAGAAGCCAGCACAGGGAAGAGAGGAGAGGAAATGTCCACAATCTCTCCTTGCAATGACCACTCTGGGGATGTGCAACATGTTCTTGACTGTATCCCACTGCCCACAGTTCCACCTGGCGTCAGACTTCTGTAGATGAGCACGCTGAGCTGGGGGACATCAACGCTGACATCAACAGCTTCCGTTCCACCTGGAGCAAGTACATCCAAGAGAACAAGCAGAAGTGGAAGGAACGAGCTGCCAGTGGTATGGGAACACTGATGGAGTGAGGGAGCTTTGGAGAAATTCTCCCATTCAGGTCCCCTTAAAGGCTTTCTGTCCCTTCCTTAAGCTGTTAAGAAAAAAAAAAGAAAGAAAAGGATCATTTTTAGATGTTGACATGGTGATCAGCCCTGGTTTCTGATTTCTTGATGTCTATACACATCCCATAGGTCAGTGGTGGTAAACCTATGGCACGGGTGCCAGAGGCGGCACTCGGAGCCCTCTCTGTGGGCACACGTGCCATTGCCCCAGCCTCCCCCCGCGACCCCCTCCTCTCCAGCAGCCCCCCTGAAGGAGAGTCGCTCCTGAGCGTGGCCCATTCAGAGCAGTGCAGCCAAGGACATGGCAGCCAGGCAGCGTAGACAAGACTCTGCCCTCACACACCATTGTGCACAGCTGATTCTGCAGGGCGTGGGCAGAGGGCGTGACCGCCATAGCGCTGCTGGGCTGCCTGGGCGATCTGCAGCAGGCCCTGGAGGCAGTGAGTGGCCCTGCGGGCAGGCGGGGGGGTGATGGGCGGAGTGGGGACGGGGGCAGGGGGTGGAGCCAGGACGGGGCCAGTGTTTTGGCACTTGGTCTCTAAAAGGTTTGCCATCACTGCCATAGGTATAGGCTGCCTGTTCCTTCACATTTTCCCCCCAATTAAACTTAAAAATTTTCTCAGAGCATGGGACTTCAAAGTTCCATTTCAGAAGAGAGAGACCTCCAAGTTCTTCTTCCTGCCATACTCTTCAGTTTACTAAATCAGAAGGCTGGGCAGCTCAGGGCATAAAGCTTCCTGCCATCCCATTGGGGTGTGTGTGTTTGTGTGGCAGCCCTCAAATCCCCTCAAATCCCTGAAAAATCATTGGCACAGTTTCTCTCTGGTCTGAAGCAGAAAATACAGGACGTTGTTTTAAAATAAATAACAGTAATCCTAATCTAAAGGCTGGTCCATTTGGTACCATCATTGGCCCACTATAACCTCAAGTCTTCTCCCTCATTTTACCCAAGTGTTGTATATATGATTGCCAAATGGTTGCCTTTTCCTCTTTTTTCCTTGGGAATCTTTTCTGTGGCTGGCTTTCTTATAAGTTCCTACAGTCTCCCTTTGCCAGCCTCTTCACTGCCACCTGATCTTCCAAGGATTTCTCGGACCCAGGGCCTGGCTAGATCCCTCTAGATCCACGGATAGATAGATCTAAAGCTGGATCTGGGAATAGATGGATCTAGATCTTTGTGCATATAGATCTAGATCTATGAGTACATAGATCTAGTTCTCTCTACCTGTGATGCTATGCTTCTGATTGATCCCCTCTCGGTCTAGGAATCACCAACCAGACATCTATTGATGAGCTCTCACCTTGCGAGGAGAAGGCCAGCACACCTGAAAATCGGCACAATCAGAATGGCAATGTGGAATAGCGCTGCGTATGGGAGGAGCAAGGTAAGGGCTTCCCAGCTCTTGCTGGGAAGAGAGTGCTGATAATTTCAGCTGAAAAGCAGGGAATCGGGAAGATCCTATATTGAGTCTCTGACTATTATTCCCATTCAGATTTCCTTCTCCATAAGAGGCTTAATTATTATTATTATTATTTTACGGAGAAGGGTTATTTTGTATGTGGTGTATGTGTGATACAGGAGTCTTCATTATTTATTGATTTATTTAAAACACTTATATAGCTGTCCATTTTATACCAAACTCTGGGTAGCTGCCAATCAAAATTAAAACAATATTAACTTTCAGGCCCAAAGAACCAAGAATGACACAGGAAGTTACTTCTGAGTAGCTCCTTTATTGTTGTTCACCTACAAACAGAATCTTGCCAGACTAAAGCAGTAACTATAGATATACTTTCTGATTTGCTATGGGTCCAACCTTGCTCTTTTCTGCCCACTAAGCATTCTAAGTTCTGCTGTCATGGAAAGAGCCCCTCTCTCCTGTGACTCCAGACAACATTCCACCACAATAACATAACATAGCACAGCACAGCACAACACAACACAACACAACATAACACACAATACTTAACATTTCTTCCACCCAACCTTATCTAAGGCATTTACATAGCAGGCAGTTAATAGCAGGTAGCAAACCAGAAACTTGGCAGATAAAGTTTCATGCCACTGGGAAGACCATTCTCACTCCATCTCTGGTTGATGTCATTCTGCTTTTTCTTTGGGGCCACTCCCCCTCCCCTTAGCTAACTTTCAGTTCCACTGATGAACGTAGCATGGTTGCAAGTATCCCGGGATAGTGGGAGTTCACCAAAACTGGATTATCTGTGGGCAGAATACCCAATGCCAGTCAATGGCCCAGGGAAAGGTCTGAGGCTGCAACAAATCCTCAAATGCCTCAAAAATGAGACAAGAATATAAAGTTGCGTCTGTGTGCTGATCACATTATGAAAGCTATACGGTGTATGGAATCTAACTTGGAAACCTACGGTTATGACGATGACTAAGGTCTACAGTGACATAGTCTGGCCCCTGTTGTGGTTGTGGAGGATGAGAGGAACCTTCTATTTTGGGTTCATTGATCAAAAGACTCCCTTGCCTAATCTTCTCTTCCCTCAGCTTGTTCAGAAGGCTGCTCTAGAAAGGCACAGACATGAGACACAGATCTAAGGCTGCTTCTCACTTTGTTCCCCATATGTTATGTCGAATTGAGCATAGCAGGTGTTGTTCTTTACATAGCCCCTCTGCAGTCTGCTATGTAGATAAAAACTGGCCTGAGGTGACAAAAGCATCACCTCAAATGCCAAAAGGGAGAATTAAAATTGGCTTAACTTGCTGGATTTCTGATTTCCGGTCTTTGCTGTCAAGGCCTTCTGGGAGATGTAGTCCCAATACATCTGAAGGATACCTGGTTGAGGAAGCTGTTCTAAAGCAGGGGTCTTCAAACTTGGCCCTTTTATAACTTGTGGACTGGCTGAGGAATTCTGGGAGTTGACGTCCACAAGTAATAAAAGGGCCAAGTTTGAAGACCCGTGCTCTAAAGCAATCTGTAGCAACTAAATCCTGTGGCTATTCATTCCAAGTGAGAAGAGCAAATCATCTGCAATGACTTATCTTCTGGCAAGGATCCAGTTATTATTATTATTTTTTCTCCAAGTCCACCTTTAATTTTGTTTTTATTTTAACTGGCAGGTTTTCAACACAGTTTACTCCAAAGTCTTCGATACCATCGACTCAGCACCATCCGCACAGGGAGGGAGCCCCTCCCCAGCTCGAGAAGGGTGTGACATGAATGCGACCATCAATACTACTAGTAATAATATTAATACTGATAAATGCAAGTGTTACCGAGTCAACGATGTCGACATCACACAGTACACACTGCCTGCCCCATCCCTGAGTTGCAGAGAATGAAAGACTGAGACCCTCCCCCCCCGTATAGCTTCCTCCGATCCCTGAGTGCAAGTGGGCAAAAGGCCATGGTAACACTGCGACTGGTCACCCAATTCCCTTTCATGCCCAACAGCCCAGGTAAGGCTTTTCACTGCCAAACCAGCCAAACGACTGCCAAGGCAACTCTCACCACTTTCTGCCCCCCTTTTAAACAAAGAATGGCGGTGATTGTACTGTAGGTGAAGAGTATGAGGAGGGGTTTGTTTGTTTTTTTAACTGAGCATGGCAGGCATGTATGTGTCTGAGGGTGGGGACTCTCATCCCTGCATGATGGCCTCTGAAGTAGGCTTCAAGTGGCTGGATCCCAGCAATCCTTCACCCCTAATGAAATTCACCCCCATAGGGCAACATCCTGCTGTCTCTGTCATCCAGCCTCTTGCATGGGTAAAGGTCATCCTTGTCCTCTGTCTCCCGGTTTTGAAGACATCCAATTTTCAACTGCTGTGGCATTAACTCAGAGCGACTCAGATCTCAAATACATTACCTCTCCCTGCTTTCAGGCAAACAGCTTATACTGTGACCAAAGGCTGTAACCTCACCTGCTGTCCCCATCATCATTAAATGTTGCCCTGTCCCAGCCAGTCACTCCAGCATTTCAGAGAGATAAGCAAGTGAAGGTAATCTTCTCTTTTGAAGCAGAAGCTCTTCAGTCCTGATCTTGAAAATTCAGTTGTGTTTTCTTTACCTATTCATAGACTCAGTCCCTGCTATTATGAATTTGCAGTATGGAGGCCAGGACACTTTGGACCAGCAAGAGATTTCACAACTGCTAGGAACATCTGAGGAGCAGAAAGTTCACAGTGTCTCAGTTCAGCCTTCCCCAACCTGGTGCTCTCCGTTTGTGTTGCTCTACAACTTTGACCATCTTTATTGGGCACGGCCATCTAGAATTGACAGGGATGGCAAGGGATGGAGAGGTGGGTGGGAGACAGAGGAGGCTGGCTGGGCATTGAAGTGAATTGTAGTCCAACTCATTTAGAAAGCACTCATTTGGGGACCACTGTCCTTTGAGCCATCACTCTGATCTGTGGGCATCAGGATTTCAGCATCTGTTTTTTCATTGAGATTGTGGGCTTAGATGCTCTTTTGATAGAAAGCCTGTCTTTCTTGTGTCTATGGAGATTCTCAACCATCCAGGTCATGGTTGTCCCAAAGGTGCTTTTTCAAAAGGCAACTGTATTTTCTTGCGTTTTTTCCTTAAAAACATTTCGCTTCTCATCCAAGAAGTTTCTTCAGTTCTGGCTGAATGGTGGGGAGCGGAAGGATTTATATTCCTTAGTGGTCATCTGGTTGCTAGCAATCTGAAGGTCTTTTGTGTGGTGTCCTGAAAACATGGATGTTACTCTGCCTAGTTGACATCAGGATGAAAAAGAGAGACCTCCTGCAGTCAAAGGGAGTTCTGAGAAGGGCATCCCACCAGCAGAAGAGAACAAAAGACCAGGGTTTATTTAACCTGAATCAGGAGTACAGAGTAACATTAGGGTTCTGCTAAGTAATAACATCATACTTGTCACCAAGGGCATATGGTCTTTGTCTCAAGCTGCAGATCATTCCATATACCTGAAATGTGAAGATATGTCTTCCAGATCTAATGACTGGTTGCTACTTAAGTCCTGACACCTCTTTCACATTTAGCAGCAAATTATAACAGAAGCATGGTTCTGACTTGTTGAGGATCCTTATTAGATGGATGTGGCTCTAGGACTGTGGAGCATTGTCAGACTCATAGCAGAAACATCTTTGGAGTTCTTCTACAAGATTGAGATATCTTTATTACATTACTATTGAACAGCGAGGTTGGCTAATTCCCATTTTGGGCACACTCTCTTTCACTTACACTGACGTTTGCTAAATTACAGTAGTCTGAACTGCCAATAATGCTACACAACTACAAGCATACACAGCAGGAAATGCTACAGTCAGGATAAGGGCATTGGGTGCACTGGTAGATGTCAAGAAGCTTGAGAAATGGCTTGGGAGATGTAATTTGAAAAGCAAATTGGGCATATGGGAAAGCAATTGTGTGATTCTACAGCATTTGCTAATCTGTGGCAGGAACTTGGTTACTCCATGTACATCTTAGGGCATAATTAACACAGGGCAACTTTGAGAAATCTTAGGGAGAGCTAAGGAATATGAAAACATGTACAGAGCAGCTCAAGAGCACACTGAGGAATTCACAAAATGAAATCTCCCCAAATCAAACTCTCAATCTGTTAAAAACAACAACAACACTAGGATACCAGTGGAGAGTATGTATTCTTTTTAAAAAATATATGTTTTATTAATTTTTTAACATAATCACCTTAATATTCGGTAAACTGTGTGTTGTCTGGGTTTACATTTAAGAAACATCCACTAACAGTTGATTTCTATAATCTTCTACAAGATTGAGATATCTTTATTATATTACTATTGAACAGCGATAATCCACATAATAACTTTACTTGATTTCCTCTTTTTCCCATAATGTTCTCTTTTACCAACCTTAAGTTAATACAATTCTTGTTATTTTAGTGAATGACGATTGAGTATAAAAGTTTTCTAATATTTCTACAGATAATAATCACATCACCTTTTCTATCTAGTTGTTCTGGTTGTCTCATCCTAGATCCTGTTTACAGTTCTTGTTTACATTTGTTTTTCCCACAATGTTCAAAACATTCTTACTGGTTAAGATTTTCTCAAAGTTAATTACATTTAAATATTTAAGTCTATTTTTCTCATGTAAGCCAACCCAATACTTTTATCTTTCTTAAGGAATAAATAAGACTAAAAAAAAGAAAAAAGAATAAGAATACATTTTTGTAATCCATTGTAACTTTCTTAAAGTCAATCACCTTTAAATATCTAAAACATTTCCTTTATATAAGCCATTCCAACTCTTTTATATTACTCATATCAAGAAATAAAATAAAAAGAAAGAAAGAAGGAAAAGAAAGTACTGTGTTACTTGAGGGGCTCTTCCCTCTTAAAATCAAATTCATATCCAAAATTTTTCTATTTCTTTAACC